AAGGGAAAGGGAAAGGACTCGAAGGCGCCGCCGAAGAAGAAGGAAGGAGGAGGTGGTGGCAAAGCCAAGAAGAAGAAGTGGTCCAAAGGCAAGGTTAGGGATAAGCTAAACAACCTGGTCCTTTTCGATAAGGGCACGTACGACAAGTTCGTGAAGGAGGTGCCCTCCTATAAGCTCATCACCCCATCCGTCGTGTCCGAGCGGCTGAAGATCAGGGGGTCGTTGGCCCGGAAGGCGCTGTTNAACCCTGTAACTTTTGATAATTCATTTTAAGATATAAATTTGATTAAGAAAATTATGAATTGCCATTAATAATTTAATACACAAGTAGCCTACGAAACGTAAGTATTTTAAATGTATGCATCACACATTTAGTTAAAACTAAACTAAATTTACAAACCACTGCCCCCTTCGCAACATAATTCATAACAATTTATACATAAATAACGACTAAATCGGTGCCAAAAAACGCGTGACTCGTGTGGACGTAATGCTAATGCAATGAACGGCCAATCAATACACAAATGAAACGACAATTGAAACGGCATTTAAATCGGCGGCAAAAACACAACACAAAAAACTTCTGTTAATTAGTAATCATTTATTTTTAAATACTTCTCATGACATACAAAACAATTGTCGGAAAATGAGACAAAAACAATCGCAAAAAGCGCACAAATGGGTGGACCAGACACTGATGTCCATGTCTTAGGCCTTTTCCGCCTTTTCCTTTTGCTGTTTGCCTTTCTTTCCCTTCTGGCCCTCCTGTTGGGCCTCCTGTTCCGCCTCCTGTTCGGCGTCGTCCGCTTTCGTGGTTCGCGTGTATATCGTCTGCGAGTGATGTTTAATAACCTGACGGATGAGTCCCTTCTCGTGCAGCTCCAACAGCGCCTTCCGGGCCAACGACCCCCTGATCTTCAGCCGCTCGGACACGACGGATGGGGTGATGAGCTTATAGGAGGGCACCTCCTTCACGAACTTGTCGTACGTGCCCTTATCGAAAAGGACCAGGTTGTTTAGCTTATCCCTAACCTTGCCTTTGGACCACTTCTTCTTCTTGGCTTTGCCACCACCTCCTCCTTCCTTCTTCTTCGGCGGCGCCTTCGAGTCCTTTCCCTTTCCCTTATCCTGTTTGGGAGGCTATGGGGGTATAGGAGGCGCCGATTAGAGGGGGTTTACAAGAGGTTGTGTCCATACATACCATGATTGCGATCGCAGTGAAAGAGGAAAAGGATGTGAAAACACAACAGCACTGCCTATGCTATCGTTGCGGTGGTAGAGAGTGTGCGCACAACCGCTTAACTATATGTTCAGGGTTTTGGTATGTTTTCATATCAATTGTTTGTATAGATTTATGCTGAGGTTATTGATAGCAAATAATACAAAATTCATGTATGATTTTCAATGATATTTATATTGTTTTATATTCTCGTACTTAATGTGCAAAATGTGAACAACTTTTTGGTCTGCATAGGGTTGACATCTATTGAAAGGTTGTGTAATATTTAAAAATAAAACTTTTTGTTTAACTTATTTTCATATTAATTCAGTGAATGTATAAAATGTATAGTGAATGTATTTTAAAGTAAAAAATTTATTAATTTCACATGCTTAATTTAATTCATTACTAACATTTAGTTTGCATTTTAAAATAAAATATCATTATATAAAGAAACTCAAAATTTACAAATTATAGTTTTGTTCAAAATATACAGTATATTGTAGTTTGTTATTTACCGGTATATGAATATAACTTATAATTATAAAATATTAAATTTAAATAAAATGCAGTTATAGTTGAAATGAAAGTTAATTAGATCTGAAACAAGAGATTAGATATTCATCCAAAGGAATGATTAGATTCTTGTCAACAGATTTCGGACGCTTTCCTATGAGACACATGTGAAGGAAATTACAATTATTTTATAACTTTTAACGGTAGTAGTAATGGTATTATTAAATTACTGACCGACACATAGACTCAAAAGTAATCCGATGAATAATGTAAGAATAAATCCAATGACTGATAGGAGTAGATATGAAATGTGAAAATATTTAGCCAAACCTCTGCATTAAAAACAAATATTGTGGTTATAAGTGATAGATAATTGAAACCATTGGTAACTAACTCTGGATTATCGTAAGACTGAATGTATGTAGAGTTTGGTAAAGTACTGTATCTCTGGATGGCATACGAGAGCACATCTTCGGGACAGTTGTTTAGAGTTGTTGGTAACGACACCTTCGGTCGAGGGATTACTATTGACCCGATGGACAGCGAAAGACTCGTCATCACCCCTAATATGAAGCCAATTAGTGTGGCCTAAAAGTAGTGGTCATTAGCTTTTTGCAGTCTTTAATATGAGTTGTAAAGTACCGGTGCCGTCGCGTAACGAAAGAATACTCCGATGAGAAACATAGCAAATAAGGGACCGACCATTGAACCGACCAAAACCATACAGGCCTGCAATACTGTTCCCAGATTTCCGACACCGAAAGACATGGCAATTGACAGAAACCCGTATCCCATGGCTGATCACAAATTTGATCAAGTTAAATGAATTTTACAAATAAGTTAATTACCGATCAGTTTAGTGATAGTGAGCTCCTGTTTCTCATTCTTGAGTTTAATGTGGTCTTTGAGGAGGTCTTCCCACGTGACCGCAGCCAACGCATTAAACCCGGACGACAGGGTACTTTTACACAACAGTATTTTTGATTGTATTTATTACTAGACTAGAAATGGATTCAATTGATGGCATACCTGAGCGAACCACTGAAAACACAGGCGACGAAGAGTCCGGGAAGACCCGGGTATTTGGCGAGAGTGTCCATCACGAAGTATGGCATCAACTGGTCGTGTCTCTCAATTATGCCCAAAGTTACCGGATCACAGTCATGGTATTTGGCGTATATGACTGACCCGCACATTATTGCCATTATGGCCAGTATTACAAGACCAGGTAGATTATAGTACAGGGTCCTATTTAACATTCATAGTGTCATTATTTATATGGGTATATTAATTTTATTATTAGGATATGTTACCGGCGCGCTTTTTGTGGTGACTCCATACTACAGTATCGCTGCACTTGTGTCTGCATTACACAGTAAACGGCTGACCAGTAGATAATAGTACCCAGGATTACATTCCAGATGTTGTCGTGATTATAGAGATTAAAATCAAAACTGACAAAATAAATTATAAAATTTTAATAATAATAAGTTATTCAACTAAGCAATGTAAATTAATTTAATAATACTGTACTTGAAAAATATGAGTCTTCCCCCCTCCTCATTGATTCGCCACACTTCGGACAGACCGCCCGCTTCTATAGTTCCCTACAATAAGGTTGTGGTTATGAGACAATTGTTTTTGAGACTATTAGAAAACAGTATATTATATTAACTATACAATAATACCTGAACGATAACCATAAGTACTCCCAAAAACATGAGAATACATTGCAATACATCCGTCCAAATAACTGCTTTTATTCCTCCCTAAGAACTCATCAAATTATTTTTTTAATATTAACTTAATTTTTTAAATTTTTTTTAAAAATATTACTTACAACAGATGTATAGAAAGTACAGATAAGTCCCACCACTAAAATACATGTAGGAATTGATAGTGGAGTAACTATTAATAAAAATATTAATTGTAATTAAATAGTAATTTTGTAAACATTTTTATATAAGACCTGAACTAAGGGCTAGAGATGGACCGTACAATACAACTGCCATATAAGGTATCTATTAATCACAATAATTATTATAATACAAATCAAACCAGTAATAAAATTACTGTCCATACCGTAGCCAACAAAAAGCCGATAGTTCCCGCCAAACGTATATATTGAGCATCAAATCGTTTCGACAAATACTAGGGATTAATATTTTATTAATAATTTATTAATTATATCGATAAACACAATAATTTATTTCAATAAAAGATTTATTTCAAAGTTCATACCTCATGAACACTGATGACTTCCAGTTTATAATAAATAGGCATAAATACTTCTGCCGCCAAAAATATGGACAAAACGATAGACACATTCTGGAGCACAAACTGAGTGCCCACTTGAAATACTTCGGCCGGTGCTCCCAATATGGTGTTTGTGGACATAAAACTGGCCACAAGTGATAGAGTGACCGGGAATACACCCAACTTTCGGTCTCCCGTCAAGAATTCACTATTTGTGGCATTTTTTCTGGTTGTCCACCAAAAGTATACTCCAATTATAGAGGAGGCGACTAATAAGAAGCCGAATACCAAGTAATCAATTACCGAAAAGTTTGTGCTCAACATTTCAATTCACTTTCAATATATGATTTATAAGGTGTTTGACTTTGAAATCCTAATTAATAAATAATAATACACTTAATGCTTAATGAATACATAATTTTAAAATAAATTATTTGTAAAAATTTTGTAAGAGAGTGCCGTTCAAAAACCGATAAACTTGTTAAAAATGTGTTGAACTAAAATATATGACATAAAAAAGTGCATGTTTGATAAAAATAATCATAACTTTAATGTCTACTTACTGGCGATTTTATAGAAAAATATTTTGCTTAAACCTGTCATTTGACAGGAAATATATGTAAAAGTCATTTAATAATACTGTACTCGGTGAAAGTCCTATAATTCTTATAAAATTAAAATGATTATTTGTTTATTTATTGATTGAGAAAGGAGATTAAATTCAGGAATCGGTTTGATATGAAATAATTCAGACAATTTTCTAATTAATCAATTTAAAACGTTAATTTGTGTCTCTGTTTGCTATCAATTTGTCAATGAGTTGTAAATATTAGATATGGTTAAGTAATGAATTTCCAAAAATAATCATATTCTTAAGAAAAACAAAATAAGTGGCTCCAAAAGTAATATAAACTCCTTATTGAGGACATAGTATGAGATAATTTATATTAAATAAAAGTGATATAAAAATAAAACAATAATTCGCATTTTTAGGTATTTTTTGAAATATTTAAACTTCAAATAATTAAGTGATTTTAATTTTAATTATCATAACCACTCTTACAATTATACTTAGATAATTATACTTACAATTATATTTACAAATTATAGTTTGTTCAAAATATAAAGTATTTTGTAATTTGTTATTTACCGGTATATGAATATAACTTATAATTATAAAATATTAAATTTAAATAAAATGCAGTCATAATTGAAATGAAAGTTAATTAGATCTGAAACAAGAGATTAGATATTCATCCAAAGGAATAATGAGATTCTTGTCAACAGATTTCGGACGCTTTCCTATGAGATACATGTGAAGGAAATTACAATTATTATAAACTTTTATTAGTACATAATGGCACTAAAATATTTTATAAATTACTGACCGACACATAGACTTAAAAGTAATCCGATGAATAATGTAAGAATAAATCCAATGACTGATAGGAGTAGATATGAAATGTGGAAATATTTAGCCAAACCTCCAAGTAATCAATTACCGAAAAGTTTGTGCTCAACATTTCAATCCACTTTCAATATCTCATTTATAAGGTGTTTGACTGTAAAATCCTAATACCATATAAAAGTGATATAGAAATAAAACAATTAACATTTGTGTAATTTTTTGACATAATTAAGAGATAAACTTTTAACTTCAAATAATTCAGATAATTAATTATACAATTATACTTACCTATATTATAGAGTCCAAGGTAATGGCTAACTCAATAATGAAAATAAAAATAACAGGTTTATATGCTAAATAATAGCAATTGGACAATGGACTCAATTATCATATGATTTTGGTTTTAGATCATTAGAGTTTAATTACATGAATGTTTGCACAGGTATGTCAGCACAAACAAGTCTGTACCAGAATCGAGGTACAGAAAGTTTTATTTGAATTAAAAATTAATATTACTTATAAACTAAAATTGAAATTGGATCAATTCATAGAGTCATTTGAGACATAATTTCTAATAATTTTATTGAAAAGACAATTTTGTAATCATTTGAAAAGTGATGAAATTTGAGAAAACCTATTGAAGGTTAGCCTGGACTTGAATGCCAACCAAATAGAAGAGTCGATCCAATTCTTTGACAAACATTTTCAAATTATGGCATTTATCCGATGGGTTACTCAGACTTAGCGAACACTTCTCTCCCTCTGTATACAGTTGTCCATAAAGTTTAGTAATCTATTCATAAGGAATCATAAGATTGTTATAATTATCTATCAATTGATCACAACTGAGGTGTGAAGACATACTTCACTCAA